AGCCCTCTTGACTTCCTGTTTGGTGTCACAATATGTAGAATTTGACTCATGAAAAAACACTTTCTACTTTTATCATCAGACAAATGGTTATTCCTTTCTTATTGTACGTTCCAAGCTCATCTTGGCTCATTCTTGGCTCCAATATACAGCTATATAGTGCTATACATGACTATTAGTCCTATAATATAAGCCTGAGCCTGAACAGGACATCAGACTTACTCTACCTGTGCTCTGTTAACAAATTAATTAGGCTATAGATTGAGCTGTTGTTATTGCTCCCTCATGTCCACTTGGTTCTTTCAATTATATTTTATTTGTTTATTTGTGTCATCTCTTTCAGTCACCTTATGTGACACCCTGCAACAGAGCTATACTCAGACTCGGAGCAGCTGTCGTTGATGGATTATTTCTAAACATTTGACAGTTGAGATGAGTCCTCACTTCTCTTCCTCACATCGCTATCTCACGTCCCTGCTGGAAGACATTACGATGCAAAAAGAGATGCCAGTGAAGGAAACAAAGAGCCATGTTTTTCCTTCAGTGGAAGAAACAGGAAAACGTACAGAAAAGAAAAGTACTTCATCAACAGGCTCACTGACTTGAATTCCTTTACAGGTTTTTGCTCTTATTCAGAAAAAGAGAATATTCCTACCATGCCGTTTACATGGCATTGAAAATAAATATTCCATTAATATTTCCATTTGCATGCAGCTGTGCATACACAGCATACACAGATTAACGTAACTGTTAATGACCTACCGTACTTCCTACAGAGGAATTTCCTCTCTCCTTTTCCTTCTCTTTCCCTCCTTTTGAACCTGCAGTCATGTTGCTCTCGTAAAAGTGGAAGGAGCTGTATGGGTCATTTGTATCATGAGAGGATTTTTCCAAAGTTTTTCACTTGTTGATTGTGCGAACACACCTTCTTGAAAAGGTCAGCGTTGTGATATTTGTACATAATCAGAAATCCTAATCATCCCTCATAATGGTTAACAATAGGTGTATTTCTCCTTCCGACCAGAAACAGGGGCGTTTGTTTTGCCTGATGTTGCAAACTGCAGTAAAAACCACAAATAATACGCATATGTTGACGGTGTTGTATGTCCAAAGAATGCTCCTAAAACCTGAATAATATCATTATAAGTAAGTATTAATGCTCCATTTGGAATAAGGCCTAATTAGGAATATCCAAAGGAAATATGCTGTGTACATGATCCTTATCAAATATAATATTCTGAATAATGGTGGAAAATTAGTGCGCACGTAACCTTAGTCACTGTGGCTTTAACTCAGAAGTGGCATCAGTCATGTCATCAGAATATTGTTGTGTATATATCTCAGCCTTAAATTCTAACGAGCTCAGTAGTTGAGATAAATGGCAGTCTGCTGTAAAAGGACCTTCGGGTATCATAAATCTGCTGTGAGCATCTTTACCTCCAGGTTCTGTTGAATCTATTAGTGCCTTAAATCAACAATCTGATGCCTGCAGCACATGGACAGATACAACCTGCAGACCTGTTAGACTCAGCACTCTTAAGTGTCTTGTCTGGCAGAGGTGTCTCAGAAGAGCTGTCGGTGGAGTGCAGAAGTTAGTGAGTGTTACAGTGGACAGTAATGTATGAAAAATGTCAGGTTGAGCTCCAGGATGTTTGTCAAAGTGAATTCCAGCAACACAGTGAGTTATGTTCAAGTACCCTGGAGAAACGTCTGTAATTTTAAGCTCCACATTCTGCCATCATGGTGGCCTAATATGTCTGTCCATCACACACTATTCAAAGCACGATACCATCACATGATGATAATTTAAATTATAACATTTTGCCATATAAATTACATCAGCTGCAACCTTTTACTCCACTAAAAATAAACAAATTAGATGCCTCATTATCTTTATTAGGAAATCAGAGGATAAATTTAATAGAATTGATGGTCATCATAATCATTGTACCTGCTCAACATCAGCATGTTAGCATGTTGTGGCGCAGATGTTAGCATTTAGTTCAAAGCACCGCTGTGTCTAAGTACAGCCTTGGGGTTTCTTGGTCTTGGCTTTTTATGTTGTTGTTTTTTTTTACTTTTTATTTATGCAGGGAAGCCTGTCTTTTTCAGGAATGCCCTGATCACATTTGCAATGTTCATACCTGGAAGCTGCCCAGGACAACCACAGTCACATGTGCAGCCCCACTGAAGCAGTTTGGGTTAAGCAGTTGATGGCCTAGCTCAAGGGCACCACAGTGGTGACTGAATCAACAACTTCCCGTGCACAACCTCGCTTCTTCAACCTTTAGGCCACCGCTGTTGGAATATCCATGCTCTCAGAATCAACAAAATCTGAATTTAATAACTACAGAAGCTTTATATTATGATGCAATTGTTGCTTTACTGGAAAATGCAACAGTAAAAAGATAATTGCAAACTGCTTGATTCATGTCTGTCTTTTTTAGATGTGTGCTGTTGTTTAGTGTTTCCTGGTAGAGCTATTGTCTAGTAAGAGTCCCTACTACAGTGGCCATGGGTTTAAGTCCAACCTGTAGGCCTTTGCTTTGTATCATCTCCTCCATCTCTCTCCCCTTTTCTGTCTATCTTGAGCTGTCATAAGAAAGGCCCAAAAAGACCCCAAAGAAATTAAAACCAAAGAGGGTATTAGGATTTGTTTCTTTCAACAACCTAACCAATTTTATTCATCTTTGATTGATTCAGAAAGACACATTTTAGCTCATATATCTACAGCCAGTGATGATTCAAGTCATAAATCTGGACCCAAACCTCAGTTCCTCTCATTTTTAGGTACTGC